GTTTATCAGGCTCTTACAAGTGGTCGACCATCTCCATTGCCAAAGCCATATTCAATGATAAGTTTGGGAGATCTGATTGGAGATGGACATGGGATGCAGGGCTGAGTTGCTTGGATATTTATCATAGTTCTAGGTATGTGTCATGTGCATTTTTTATCTTTTCTAGTCTACCTTCTCTCTGAATAAAAATAATTTCCATAATTTGTTTTCTTCTCTTCATGATAGACTTCTGAATCTATTTTCTTTGCTTCTATTGATGCTATTTTTTTTCACAATTGAATATTATGAACCAATATGACAGGCTGCGAAGTTTAATAAAAAAGTTGAAGAAATATGGATGTGTTATCAAGTGTTATCTACATTCAACCTGAAGATGAATAGGGGGATTGCTTTTTCAAGAATGTAGTTTAGCTGTGTACTGCGTAGACTGTTATACTGTTACACTCTTCTTTGTTTGTTGTAGCTAATTCTCAAGTTTTTTTTTTTCTTTTTGTGAAATAAATATATTGCTGGTGTACACGTGTTGCCACCATTAGTGTTGGACGGTATATGTATTCGTTTTTGTTCTTGCAAAGTTGTGAATTACTACTTTATATCCTTCTTCCCTGTTGTCCTCTTCTTAGTGTTTGCATCAAGATCGCAATCCATAGAAGACGGGAGGGAAGTAACTCTTTAGTAGACAAATTTCCAAACTATGAAGCAAAATGATTAAAATCAAATAAGAACTACTATTTAATGGGTTTAACTTAGATATTTCAAATGGTTATACTTTTAAAAATTGTATAGTCAGTAAAGTTTAAGTTAACAAGATGAAATGATTCAATTGTTAAAAAAATAAGTAAATGCACAATTTAATTTAATTTTATAGTATGTTATGCGTTTATGATTTTATAGTAGAATTTATGGGATTTGAATTTTTACTTATGCAAAATTGTAAAATCTTTCAGTTTTACAAGTAAAGTTGTAATTTTGATAATTATACTTTTAACTTTATTAAAATTTATAATATTATATGCATTAATTCATTTTTAACTCTAAATTTTATTCTTTAATTTTCATTTCATGTATTAGTACTCGTAATTTATACTAACAAAAGGGTTTTTTGTAAGCTATCTTTTTAAATCTTTTTGGAATGCATGTTTAAAAACTCATTTGTTATTCATATTTTCAAAAATTAATCCTTGAATTGAAAGTTTTGGTACATATAGATGATATATGTAAATTTTTTATATTGATTTAATAAGTATAATCAATTTATTGATTAAACAAAATTTAAAATTATTAAACATAAATTTGAAGATAGAATTTATTTGATTAAATAGTTATAGTATAAGTGTTAAATTAAGGAAAATGACTTAAAACTAATCTTTTTATATCATGTTTTAGTATAATTTTACGTATTATTTAAATAATTAATTTTTTTATTCATTTGAGATAATGATACTAAATACATCTTTTTATTTAATAATTTATAGAAATTGTATAAAAATTACATAAAAAATTATCTCTACATCATTATTCTTAAATTAATATGAAAATTTACCTACATCATATACATATATAGAACTTTGAATCTAAAAATTAATTTTTAAAAATACTACTTAAAATATAAATTTTTACACAGTTATTCTAAAACAAATTTTGGGAAGCGCAGCCTCGCACTAGGTAGTTACTTATCCTAACACTCCCATGTTATTAAGCAGTTGAGCGACTGCATATGCATAGGGCACCTATATAAACACTTACCATGGAGGTAAACCTCTCTGGAGTTTCAGGATCGATTCGATAAATGTGCTCGACACTTGAATTAGGGCTCAACAATTTCATCAATCTTACCAGGTTTTGTCCTTTTCCTTTCTTTACATGGTTTTCCTGCTTCAAAAATTTCCTAGAAATTTCCCGAATTTTTCAACTTAATTTCTTTTAGAAATTCCCATTGTTGAAGAAAGTAGAGATTAAGATTAAAAGTGAAAATGCTGTGTAGTTTTGCAGTGAAAGCAAGGAGTTTGACACCTAGGGCATTTTCCCCTTTGACGGTCGCAGTAATGGGATCTAAGGGGCTCCTTTCAAACTCATCTGTGTCGGCTTCATCAACTGTTGAGGGAAAGACAGATAAGAAGCTCAAGGGATTAGCTAGTGTAGACTTAAATTCTGATGAGGGTGAAGTTAAGGTTGTTGATTGCCATGGTTATTTCCACTAACCTCACTGTTGATTTTTATATGCTTTATAGTTTTAACGATGTTGTGTGGTTTTAACTGTTTCGGGTATTGGTGGGTTGTAGGGGAATGCTGGGAAAGGTAAAGTGGCTGATCAGGGCAAGAATGATAATAAAGAACAAGGTTTGGTGGGTACCAATCAAAATTCCAGAGAGTGTGTTTTTAAGGTTGTTGATGATATCACTTATAATTGCCATATCAAAAATTTTCTGCTTTCATGCTTTTATAAGAATGTGGTTTAAATGTAGTGTGTGTGAAATTCAGGAGATCATGAATGATCCTGGCAGAATCAACGCAGTGATGGTTCAACAACTCAAGGCTGCATCGCGGCATGTACAAATTTTGAGGATAAACATAAAAAGATATATATGGATTCTGTTTTAGGTGTTTGTGTTCTCGTATCATAAGTTTTTAGCTTTAATGTATCATTTCATGAACACAAAGTAGGGCACTGTGCACATATCCTAAATTCTTGAAGGCCATTGATGATAAAGAGAATAAACCACAAAGAAGCTGTGCAATAAAAAACAGTAGGCATGTGACTGCTTTAACTGGTTGGACTAGTTCCTTGTTTGTCGTGCAGTGCTTTTATTTTTTTTACTGAAAAACACTAATCTCGTGCCCTGATTTCTAAATATCCGTGTATTAATTTAATGCCACATTATTATGCAACTTATACAATTACAAAAGTTTAATTTCACAGTATGGATGGTATGGATTAATTAAAGTGAATGGATAATAATAAGGTTAAAATAAGAAAAAAAAAAGATTTGTTTACCTTGAAAATTGAAAAAATAATCATTAATTTAGAATAAATTTAAAATTAAAAACGATAATTATTTTAAGATAGAGAAAGTATTGTATTTGCTCTGCTACAATCTCATTATATATTCATATACTGTTAGTAAGCTGTGGGCTCTCAAATTTTAATAGGAATTCATTACTTTCCTATTACATTAACCCTTTTATCTTTAATTGAGTTAACCTAGCCATTGTTATTGATGACCTATTAAATTTCAAAAATAAAATGAAAATTTGAAAATTAAGTGTGAAAATGTGAAAATAAAGAGTTGTTCCTTGATTAAATTGTAAGGTAAGATAAGTTAAAACATGATTTGCACAAAGATACTTAGGGGTATGGTTAGAACTTAGAAGTGAGAAAGGGTATATATGCATCTTACAATCCTATGTATAAAACACAGTTGTATAGTTTAAAATTGGAAATTTAATTCAACTTGTTTGTTGTTTTTTGTCTTAATTAAGAGACTTGAGAAAGTAAAAGGATAAAATAGCAACATTTGAAAACTTGAGGTCTCAATTGAGTAAATTAGGAATCCACGTGGTTAATTTTTTTT